CCCCAAAACCCCAAAACCCCAAAACCCCAAAACCCCTATTTTCTAACAGTCATTGGGAAATATGACATAATATTGATCATGAGAATTTTAGGCTTCAGTAATTACTTCTCCCTATTACTTGGATCATATTTGAGCACATTCTCCTTCTCAAGTTTTTGCCCAGCTTGGGATATTGATGACTGAATGGCTTTACGAGCACTCTCCATAAATCTCTTTTGTTCAAATTGAACTTGCCTCTGAATCTTTCTTCTTTGAATATCAGGAATCAAGAAGGAAGACATTAAATCCTTTACTATTGATTGAGGCTTGTTCTTCTTGTGCTCCATTTTATCCAAAAGTTTGTTTAATCTCTTAACCTTTAATTGAGCTTCATCATAAGCTTGCTTAGTTGAAGCATCATCGATAGCATTTGTGATAATATTTTGGAGATAGTTATCGACTCTACCTTGGTGAACTGACATAACTTCCTTGAATAAATTATCCTCTCTAGCTCCGAGAATTTGTTCAGCTTGTCTTCTACCTCCTTCTTCTGCTTCTCTTCTCCTTCTATCTTGTTCTGCCATATGAACCATTGCTGCGATTTTTCTTTCTTGTTTAAATCTAACTAGTTCTTTGGATAGTCCTTCCATTGTTGAAGCAATAATCTCTGCTTGAAGCCCTTCAGCTACTCCGTCAAGGACTCTTTCTTGATAATTCTGGATAATATTTCTTTCTTCTTGTTGGTCAGATGCCTGTCTCCACTCCTCAGTAATTCTAAGCTCAGCAATAAGATCAAGTCTCTTTTCTTTTCCTTCGAACATCATGTTCTGCTCAGCTCTTCCTCTAATGAGTCTCTCAAGGAGAAGAGCAGCCTTGAACTCTTCGTAGTACTGAGAAGCATTGGCAACAGTTCTTCTTCCTGGTCTTTCTGGGGTATCAGGCCTAACGAACTCGTTCTTATACTTCTTTTTCTGTTCAGTATCCTTTTTCTTATTATCTTCTTCGTCCTTCTCGAAATTGTTTTTGTCAATGCTCGATTGCATTTTTGACAAAGCACCCTTGTGCTTTCTTTGGTTTCTAGTGATGCTCTTTTTAAACACACCTTTGATAGCCTCTATATCAACTTTGCTCTTCATTAATTTGGCCGGCAAGCTTTCACTAAGTTCAGTCACTCCTTGATATGTTGATAAAGCATCTGGTTGAACTTCGTACTTGCTAGCTATTTTGTCAAGAGAGAGTCCGTCCCTGGTAATTGGGGCATAGACAATAGATCCGAAATTCGAATATTCTTGGATGATATCTCTCTTCGAACCTTTGTTATCCAGATTCTTTCTGGCTTTGAACATTTTACGAAGAACCTTGATCCTCTTTCTTTGAATTTTAGCAATAGCTTTTTCTTTGTCTTCAGTTTTCTTGAGTCTGATGTCTTCGATTCTTCTGGCATGATTATCTTCAGACTCCTTTTCTCTTTCGACAAGAGCAGATTGAAGGAGGTTGAGTCTTTCATTTTGCAATCTCTTAATATCATCTTCTCTCTTGCCCCATTCTCTGAATTCCTGTTCTTCCATCAGTTTTCTTCTGAGTGAGAAGCATGCCTCATCAGAAGTAGGAGGGAGTGCATGCTCAAATGCTCTCTTTTCCCTCATTTGTTCAATAAGTTCCATCTCTGCCATCGAAGCAGGGAGTCCTCGCCCATAATTGAGATGAGCTATTGTTAATACTTCTGGAGTTTGACCTCTTTCAATTACATAATCCGGAGTAAATGGATCTGTCTGGGTACCACTCTCTCTGTAATCAGTCTGAATTTCAACTGTCTTTGCTAGGGGTTCCTCTTCTTGTTCCTCTCCTGCAATTTTAGCTGCATTGATTTGTTCTTCAGGAATGCTCATGACTACATCTGGGGATACCGATTCAAGTACTGGGATAAGAGGTCTATGGAAGAATTTATGTCTATGGGTTCCTTGTACTAAAGTGCCTACAGACCCTTGATAGTTATTATCCTTGAGAATATAGCTCATTTTATTTTAAATTTATAATTATTTCATTTCTTTTATTTCAAATATGATTAACCTTCTAGGGGTTTTGGGGTTTTGGGGTTTTGGGGTTTTGGGGTTTTGGGGTTTTGGGG